TTGTTACGGAGCGAGCTGTAAATTATTCACGTTGCGCAGATGAATAAACATGTAAAAATTAATAAAGATCAACAGTAACAACCGGAATCGTCCTAATCTCGATCATTACATTGATTGACTAGACGAAATCGTCCGTTCGCTTCGAATTTATTGATGCAATTAATATTGTTAATTAAAAATTATCCGCGATTCGATTTACAGACAGGAAGAGAATATCATAGCTTGTTATAACTGTAATCACCGGCGTCGCCGAGATTTTATTAAGAAAAAATAATTAATACATAACCATTTAAAATTTAATAGATTCAATTTCTTCTATAAACTTATAAATCCTTCAATTTGTACTCAAAATAAACGAAATTTCTAATCTTCTATTATTTCAAATATTTCATTCTAATCACTTAAAATCAAGCTTAGTTTCTGCTATAAACTAATGAATTCTTCCTTACTGAATATAAACGCCATGCCTAATCTTCTATTGTTTTTACTTCAAATATTTCATTCTCATTGGTTTTCATGAATAAAGACTATAATAATGTTGTCTTCTCTAGGTTTTGTCAGTAAAAAAATCAGTCAAAATCAAGTAACGCAAGTAACTTTAATTGTTTGTTTTCATTTTGTTATTATACAATTGCTTAGTTTCTGCTATAAACTTATAAATTCTTTAAGTTTTTACTGAAAATTAACTCTACGCCTTAATCTTCTATTATTATTACTTCAAATATTTCATTCTAATTCGTTTCTATGAATGAAGATGATGAAGTAAAGTAGTCTTTGCTAGGTTTTCACAGTAAAAATCCATTAAAAATCAAGTAATCACAAGTAACTTCATTTGTTTGTTTTCAGATTATTATTGTTCGGTTGCTTAGTTTCTGATATAAACTTATAATTTCTGCAAATCAAGAAATCGTAAGTAACTTTATTTGTTTATTTTCAGTTTGTTTTTGTTGGATTGCTTAGTTTCTGATATAAATTTACAAATTCTGCAAATCTTTCTTATTGAAAATAAACTCAATACCTAATCTTCTATTGTTATTACTTCAAATATTTGATTCTAATTCGTTTCTATGAACGAAGATGAAGAAGAAAGTAGTCTTCGTTAGGTTTTTTTCAGTAAAAATCCATTAAAAATCAAGAAATCGCAAGTACTCCATTTGTTTGTTTTCAGTTTGTTATTTGTTGAATTGCTTAGTTTCTGCTATAAACTGTTCAAAAGTAACTTCAATTGTTGTTTGCTTTTCACAGTTATTGCAATTCTTCAATCATTCTTAATTGAAATTCGCCAATTACAAAAAAAAATGAGTTTCATCAATACTTCAGTTATTCTGACTTTTAATGAATTATTATAATTTAATAACTTCTTTTTTATTGTTTCTTAAACAACTATTGCAGTTCTTCATTGTTCATACCAGAAACAAACAAATTTATTATATTTATGTAACACAATTATGACCATCGTCGCAAGATTTTATTGCGAAAAAAAAAACAATTCTATTGTGAGTTTTTTCTTTACAATAATTCAGTTTTTACTTAAAGTATTTTTACTGAAGTTACAAATAAAACAAAATATAATCCAATCAAAAATCTAATAAGTATAAATCAGTTTTTGTCTGCAACTATTCTTCAATTATTCTTACTTAAAACAAAACAAAACAAATTACACTGCTTGTTACTTGATATTAATAAATATAATTCACTGAAGAACTGAAGTAATATACATAAAAAGCATCAATTTCTTCACAGTTCTTCGATCTCATTAAAAACAAGAATAATCCGTAATTCAATACAATGTAATTACATAATCCAATTATACCGTGGGACTACTACATCGATATACGGTGTTTCCTGTCCATTCGCATTTAATTAAATCAAATAATTTCGGCTTCGGAATAGTTGGGTGAAACCACAATTAATGTTCCTCTGAAAATCCATCAAAAATAAAAAATAAATAATAATTAACAGATTAAATTGCACGTGAAACGTCGACGACTCTTAATATAATTGGTTTCGCATTTCGAATCAATAAAATAATACGCGTTGTCATCAAACAATTTCAGTCCATCGAAAACCATTTAAATCTGTTCATACAATAAACTGAAAAAAATAACCATTTTTCAGTTAAAATAACTTATTGTCCAGATGGAAATATTTTATTTGTAATCAAATTAAGAAGTTAAACAAAATTAAACAAAAAATTGACAGTTGACAGTTTTGATAACTGTCATTATATATTGATTAGTCATAATCTATTATAAGATATGCTTCAAATAATGTTATTTATACAAATACAACACAAATTAAACAAAAATTGACAGTTTGAGAAATGTCATAATCTATTGTTAGTATTGCTTTAAATAATGATATTTACACAAAGTAA